GGCGAGCATGTTTGGTAATGGGATTCGAACCCGCAACCTTCAAATTGTAGATCGAGTGCCTTAACCAGTAGGTCATACCAGGCCTTTTTTCCAGAAGTCACACAGTATATATTCTAGCTCAATATTAATTTGTTTAAATGTTCTTTTAAGTCGGTAAGCAAATCAAGAACAGTTAATCTGACTATTCCTCCATGTTTTGTTCGTTTGTGTGTTTCAGCACAAAGTGAGATATTTACACTCTGGCATTTCGGGGAATTGAACCCTGGATTCTAGCGTTTTAAATATTTAAAATTATTGCTGACTCACCAGAGGACTCCTCCATTTCGTGTAGGTATTTTTAATTGTCAGCTATTAACCTTATCAGAATCCTGTTCCATTGCAAACTGAATAGTTGTGGTATCTCTAATTCAGAGGAATAATGGTGTTTCATTTGAAATAATTTTTATTTTCACCCTCACAAAACTGGAAGGGATATATCTTTATTCAGGTATTTTCTGGAAAATAAATATTTATGCATATTGTTATCATGGTAAAGTAGATACAGTATTGCCATAAACCTGCGCTAATCCTATAGCTTGGACAATGGTTACATACCACAATCATTTTTTAATAAAGCTTATAATTACTTGACCCACTTTCGGTGTCATGTCTTCCTGAAGTGAGATCATACTTCAAAAAATGGTATAAAGGCTTGTACAAATTCTATAAGTTGAGACTTAACGTCCTTAAGTATGTATAATGGGAATTATCGTATACATCAGTAATCTAAGGATTGTAGGATACTGCAATAGGAGCTTGATCTGACCTAACAGTGTGGCATCATAATCATGCTGATTCCTGTTTTCATCTTGTATAGATGTGTTTTTGACCTGTTCCAACAGTCAGTTTCAGTCAATACCGAATACAGAAGCTAAACAGCATAGTTAAAGACCCCAGTATTTATTTACTTGTGAATAAAGATGTTTATTTGTTGAATTATGCTTGCTCGTTTTTTTTTCTTTGATGTCATTGTTCGTTTTATTCTCTACGTGACATTTCTGGAAACTGGTATATTGTAGATACTTTTCTGTTGAACATCAGTGTACCTTAATACTACAATATCACATAATGAGTGGTTCAAAACTTTGGCCAGATGGAATGTTAGTGTGAGAACAAGTTCCGAAGAGAAGAAACAAATATGTTTGACTAAAATTTATTTTAAACTGAATTAAATGTATCATAGTGCGTGTTCGGTGTATGAACAATAAATAACCTACATGAAAACATAATAGTTTACAGCATGTCTCGGCATTTCAAGGAAACAATTATTCTCATATCTGAAAGTGACAAAAATGTTCTCACGTGCTACAATCTCTCTGTAACTAACCAATCAGAGAATCACAAATATCTGAAAGTATGTCATTCATGTGAGAGAGTTTTTCCATATATAAAGGGCAAAGGACACCGTACAACTATCCCATTGTTGCGTCAGCGAGGTCACGTGACTAGTGTCACGCCACTCGTTCTCTCGAATCTTCGTGAATGCCCTAGCATTTACTAGATATATGTTAGTCTGGTATATATATAAGACGCTCACAACTTGACGGAAACAGTGTAGAATGTGTGTAGGTAGTGAGTAATTGAACTGCAGTCAGAAAGTATTGTTGAAGTTAACGTTCGTTGTTAAAACGTTTGTTATAGAGC